GCTGCAGTAATGGTTAGAGAATAAAACCCTGGATCAGCGGCTTCAGACTCGTTTGCAACTGATCTGTGATGAGACCTGAAGACATTGACCATCTCTGCTCTGCTCCCAGCCCCTCTGCAGAGTAGTGACATCCAACAGGGCATCCAAGGCTTTCCAGCATTCAGACTTAGTTCTACACATTCTGTTTATACACTCCCCCATCCTTTTCACTTTGAATTCACAGGTAAAATCCTTTCAGTTCAAAACTAGATTTGAAATCCTTTTAATATCAACTAATCCCTTTCAAACTGAGATACATTCTATGAACTTTGAGACTCTTGGCTGAAACTGGCTTTGTAACTATGACTTTTACTTCTACCAACCTCTCCCTGGCCAAGCACCCCTGAGCTTTATTCTAAGATATGCTTTAGATGCTGCACAAATACTTCACAGCAATATATTTGACTCCTTTCACCTCATCTTCTTCCCAAATTGCATCTAAGAAAAGTGCTGAATGCTTCCATTCCTAAGCAATGCAAAACTACTCAAAATTTCAGCTAATAACTCTGACCACAATTCACAAGCACTGAACTGCCCAAATAACTCTGCATTTGCATCATATTTGTCAGCTGAAAAAAAAAAAAGACTTAATTCTGCCTGAGAATCCAATTATTTGTGTAAATCACCAACAACCTTGTCATCTGAGAATGGAATTCGGTTACTACATCACACCTTCTCTAAGCAAATACCTGGACCACTAGAATTAACATTTCTTTTTCACATCTGCTTCCATTTTCTCTGGATTTCTAATGGACCCAGAATCAAAGAGAGCTGCAAATACCAAGGAAACAGATTTGATGCAAAATGACATGAAGAAAAGTGCTTATGTGGATCCCCAAACTCTGGTTATCAATCTGACATGATGATGATCACCTCTGTGCTCCATAAATCCACAAAAGTGAGAGACAACATTTTCAAAAGCACTTGTGAGTGTAATTCTTGCATCAGACTCAATTCATCAAAAAATAACGAGTCCCTATTTTTGGCTCTTCATCATTCAGAACCAGCAGTGAGATGTGGGAGCATTTGCAAACTGCCAGTGATGCTCAAGAAATCATTTTCAAGGCAAATCTTCTCCTGTAAGAAGCTGGTGGCACTTGAAAAGAAATGCATTGCATGTTTCTTCTCCAGACTGCTTTGCCCACCAGCAGCACCCAGGTCATGCATCCCCAGCAGGACTTGGAAGGGAAATAGTTAGCAATAGATATATAGCTGCCTTCTGGTGCCTGAAGGGGCTCCAGGAAAGCTGGGGAGGGACGTGGGACAAGGGCAGGGAGGGAGAGGACAAGGGGGGATGGATTAAGCCTGGAAGACGGGAGACTGAGGTGAGACATGCGGAAGAAATTCTTTGCTGTGAGGGTGGTGAGAGCCTGGCCCAGGCTGCCCAGGGAAGCTGTGGCTGCCCCATCCCTGGCAGTGTTGAAGGGCAGGTTGGATGGGGCTTGGAGCAGCCTGGGCTGCTGGGAGGTGTCCCTGCCCATGCAGGGGGGTGGGACTGGATGATCTTGAAGGTCCCTTCTAACCCAAACCAGCCTGGGATTCTAGGATAAGATATGGTGAAAACCTTCATATCCAAGGAAGCCTGAACCACACAGCTGGCACTGTGTTCATCCTTCCCCCATCCAGGGGTGTCAGACCATGGCTCCCACCACAGAGGCAGTTCTGGTGTCAAAAGTACATGTAGCAGCCTGTTTTGTTCCACTGACTGCATGGGTGGCCAGGATGTCACAGCTTTGAGTAACAGGAGGTGTAGAAGCCCTCATTCTTCTCCTGCATGGAGTTGCCAAAGGAAAGATCTGAGGTCAACTTCTGGACCTGAGCACACAGGGTACAACCTCAGAGAGCAACAGCCAGGATTGCAACAAGTCCACCTGAGCCAGAGACAATCACATCTGCTCCTAGCAGATCCCTGGGTAGGCAGAAGCTTCAAACACCCTCTGTTGCCTTAAATTACTGCTTGCAATGACTCACAAGCCTTCATGCTACTATGATTATTACAACCCTGCTGCTTTGGTCTAATCCTGAAGCCCTTCAGAGCAACATCCTCAGTATTTGCAGGTTTAGAGAACAAAGCTCCTCATAAGGTAGAGATGCTTGAAGCAGAAGTGCTGTAATCCCAACAGATCCCACAAGCTGCACTCTCAGCCTGGGCACACAGAAGATACTCAGATCTTCCCAGAAGTTCAAAATGTTCAGTGATGTGAAGGTACTAGTATGGAAAACACACAAATTCAAACTGAGGAACCTGCCAGGATTTTCTGACATCAAAACCAGCCCCCAACCTGCTTCCCCTGATACTGTCTTCTCCTCATACTGTCTTCTCCCAGCCACAGTCCATGTTCACACCCTTCAGTGAGCTACACCTGAGCAAACAACCGCTCAGGCAGTTTGGAAGGGGCTGCCTGAGGCATCATCTTTTCCCTCTCCTGGCAATTTATTTCCCCAGGAAAGCCCAGCTGAAAGGCAGCATCTGCTCCACAGCCTACACTAGTTTTATTTCCTTTCCCAATGTGTTTGACTGGCAGAGCTGAAGATGAAGGTAGTGTTTTCAGTCTAGAGAGGAAAAGACAGAGGGGGGATCTAATTAATGTCTATAAATACATGAGGGCATCAAGAAGGCAGGACAAGCTCTTGTCACTTGTGCCCTGGGACAGGACAAGGGGCAACAGATCCAAACTGGAGCCCAGGAAGTTCCACCTCAACATGAGGAAAAACTCCTTTCCTGTGAGGGTGACAGAGCCCTGGGACAGGCTGCCCAGAGAGGCTGTGGAGTCTCCTTCTCTGGAGCCTTTCCAGCCCTGTCTGGATGTGTTTCTGAGTGACCTGCCCTGGTTTTGGTCCTGCTCTGGCAGGGGGGTTGGACTCGATGATCTCCAGAGGTCCCTTCCAACCCCTGACACTCTGTGATTCTCTTATTGCTTTGAATACCCACGCTTGAAGCACCTGCAACCCATAAGTGATATGACAGAGCCAGAGGACTTACGGATTTGTAGGACTCAAGATAAACATGGAACTGTAAGGCAAGATTGGTTTAGGTCCATTCTTCGTCAAGTCATCGACGTCTTTCTTCTCCTCTGTTTTACTTTCAAAGTCAACGTTGTTCACTGGCATTGAAGGAAAAGGAAAGGAGAGAGTTAAAAATATATCTGCACACACACACACACACCCCAAGCAGGCTGCCTGCAACAGCTGGCTGTGCAAACAATGCAGCTGGGACAGCAAACAGCTTCTGAGTGTGTTGATTAAACGTGATGAACAATCATTTGATTATTATCGCTGCTGTTGGCTGGGGTGTGATACACGCTGCAATTACCCTCCCTAACTGCTGCACTCAGGAGCAACACATCAGAAGTGGCCAGGAAATGAAGATGCCCAGTGCAGACAAAGAAACCTTAGACTTATTTACACAAGAGCTGCCAAACTGGGGATGGAAATCCCGTTCCAAATATCGTTAATTACTGGGGAGACAGGATCAGCTAGGGATCCTTGGGAAGGAAGAGAGTAAGTCTCACCAACCACATCACTCTGGGTCCTCTCCCATAGATCAGTAGCACAACTGGCTTTGGAATGTGTAAAAGAGCAAATTCATAGATGAACTTCAATAATTTTGGGGCTCAGGCTGCTGAACTGCCCAGCAGTAGGAACAGAGGGAAGGACTCCCTGGGCCCCCTAAGCTCTGTGCCTACACAGTGCACCCCAGTTTTGGCAGAGTTCTCCATGTATAAAGGTGTTTAGCTCCAGTTCACACCAGGTTTTTAACTTACATAATATCCCCTTCTAGAATATAGTTCTGAGCCTCACACAGTCCCAAAGGTTAGAAATCCATTCTCTAATCTCCCTCCTAAGTTTTCTTGCAGTGGGTTTATAGGATAATTTATTTAACATCATTTCCAAGATATGAACTGGAAAACATTTTATGCTGCAAATTCTTTTCTTAGGAGGATATATACACATATCTATTAATTCACAGGACCCAGAATCCAAAAACTCCACCCACTTATAATGTCTTAGGTGCAGGGTTTTTATTACCTTTTATTTTATTTTGCAACAAAATGACATTTCATTGTGAGTGAGTGAGTGACATGTTCAATAAACTCCTTATTTTATCTCAAGCCAGATACCCAGGAAATGGCTGGGAAAGAGAGGGGCTGATAAAATGTGATTGACAGGAACTCAGTATTGCAATAGAGTAAAATTACCATTTAAGAAAAAAAAGAAAGAAAAGAAAAAAAGAAAAGAAGCCACTCAAGGTTTGTGTGGCTGAAAACACAGTGAAAAATAATGGAGAGAAGCCACCAGCTTTTGGTTGTGCCTCATGGAAAGCAGAGTCCTGACAGCCTTCAAACCTGTGTGGACCTCTTAGATTTGACACTGGTATTCACCTTGGCACCTCCTGGTCTCAAAACTTCTCTTGGCTGTGCCTACACTGCCAAGGATGAGGCAGGAGCTGGTCAGAACAAGGCTGGTGGCTGCAGAGCAGACCATGGACACAGGGATCTTGGGAGCATCTGAAAAGCTGTATAGATCTATGCTTGCAGACCCAAGGCACAGAGCTCAGGAAAAGTGATGGTGGATCTACTGAGATGGAGAGAATTGCAGGAAACTCCCAAATGACACAGCCTGCAGGAGCCCAGAGCAGCAGGGCCACATGATGGGTGCATGATGGGAGCTCTGCTCACCCAGACCTGCTGCTCCACAGCTTTTAATAAGCCAAGAAGCAGGAATTTGGGCTGTGGGCTTGACTGCAATGCTCCCTTGTCCTCTGCTGAGGGGTCTGTGGCCAGCCAGGCCCCTGGGACACCACTGCACAGCACTGCTGAAGTAGGAGCTTGCAGCATGGCAGCAAAGGAAGGTGATTAAGCAGAGGATCCAATCCTGTGCTCACAAGGTCCTAACTGGTTTGTTGCAGCTGTTGCTTCTTTTGCTGCTCAACCCTCAGTTACTACATTTTGCTTTACTTCTTGCTCATTCACCTTCCTGTTACACAAAGAGATGTGCTCAGTGAGGCATCCCCAGGGAACTTCATGTGGTGGTTTTCCAGAGCCATCAGCTGGCCCAGGTGACCCAGCAAGCCATTTTGGGTTCCTGCAGGCTGCATGAACTGTCCAGCCCTACATCAACAAGTTCTCCTGTTCACCTCTTGCAAGGATGCTGGTGGTCAGAAGAGCCCCCACCACCCAGAGCCTGCTGCTAGCTCCTTGGGAAGTGAGCTCTTTTTGGGCAATTTCACAGCATAAAAAAAAGTCAGGAGAGAGGCACTCACTTGGTATGACAGTGGTTTCCCCTGGTGGGGCAGTGATGGTGACGGGGATGTTCACAGTGGTGGTCTTGTCCAGAGGTGGCTGGATCATCCGTGTCACGTTCTTCTGGTTGTCAGCATCTTCTGGCTGCTCTGGCACTTTCTGCAGGTAGGTGCTGGGAAGGGTGTGCACAGGGACACTCACACTTCCACTGGCCTCAATCTCACATTGATTCTCCCTGAGGTGAAGAAACAGGTTCTATTAAATATGGTCCAAGAAGGATTCAGAGAACACCCAGACCCTGCTGCTGCACCTCTTGCCAGGTCTCACAGGCTGGTTCCTTCATGGAAGTCCTTTGCAGAAAAGTCACAGACTGCAGGACAACCTACTGAGAGCAGGGAATGGGACCTTTTCCCTTGAGACCTTCTGAACCAACATCCAAACACAACATTAGGAGGAACTGTGCCACCAAATGGCACTTTCTCCAATTGAATAAGACTCAGGCCTGAGGTTCATAAGCAAGTCCCACGTGGCACTGCCATGTAGCAGGGACATTACCTCTCCAGCATCAGCTGGTTTCTGAATGAAGTCTGACACTGCTTCCTAATGTTCTCCTGAGGCCTTATTTAAATTGGGTGATTCTCTTTTCCAGCTCTAAACTACTCTGCCATGTTGCTGTGGGCAGCTAAAGAGCTTCTGCATTCCTCTGAAGCAGGGGCTGCATTTCAGGGAGGAGGAAAGGGAGCTTGTGCACATGATCAAACTAAATAGTATGCAAAGCATTTTGAAATCCATCTGAAAGGAAGATAATGCAGACAGGGAAATTATTATCTCAGTGCTACTCAGCTCTCCACGGTGACATGAACTCTATTCTAAAAAATCCCAGTGAAATCTCTTTTCCATCAGACTAATAACACTGAGAAGGCAATCCATCCTTCTTTATTAACTACTTGAGATGCTTCCCAAGAACTGTTTTTCTCACTTGACTTACATAAGAATGAAACCAAATGGGCTACATCATTGTTCTTAATGGGAGAAGCCACGTGCTGCAACAACTGGTGATGCAGCTGATGGGCTCACCAGCAAGACAGGGTGATAAGCAGGACTGGATGGCATTTCAAAATATGGCCCTCAGAAGCTTCCTTTAGGGGCTGTGAAGTTCTCTGCTCCACTTTATGGCCTAGAGGGTCTGGTGGTGTTTACATCCAGGATTTATGCTTCCTTGAACCTGAGCTATTCTATGGACCAAAGTGATTTTTTGGGGAGCCTCTGTGGTTACTGATCTAAGCACAACGGAACTGCAGGTTATGGTGGTGTGAGTGCAAGAAGAGTAGCAGGGAATGTCATGGGGAAGGGGAAACAAGTCCCTGAAAGGTGTCTGGGGTCTTGTGCCCCCTGAACTGTCCCAGGGACACTTACTTGGGCTGGTGGTTCCGGTGCTCCTTCTCGCCAGCCTCCCCCTCCTTCTCCCCGTTCTCCTTCTCCACCGACTCGTAGGTGGACAGCGCCCTGTTCCTGAGCCGGTGCCGTCTGTGAGGCTCTTCTCCATTCTCCCCCTTGGATCCGGGTTCTCCTTCCCTGTTCCCAGACCTCGACCCTCCCCGGTGGCGCAGGGAATGGGACCTTTTCCCTTGAGACCTTCTGAACCAACATCCAAACACAACATTAGGAGGAACTGTGCCACCAAATGGCACTTTCTCCAATTGAATAAGACTCAGGCCTGAGGTTCATAAGCAAGTCCCACGTGGCACTGCCATGTAGCAGGGACATTACCTCTCCAGCATCAGCTGGTTTCTGAATGAAGTCTGACACTGCTTCCTAATGTTCTCCTGAGGCCTTATTTAAATTGGGTGATTCTCTTTTCCAGCTCTAAACTACTCTGCCATGTTGCTGTGGGCAGCTAAAGAGCTTCTGCATTCCTCTGAAGCAGGGGCTGCATTTCAGGGAGGAGGAAAGGGAGCTTGTGCACATGATCAAACTAAATAGTATGCAAAGCATTTTGAAATCCATCTGAAAGGAAGATAATGCAGACAGGGAAATTATTATCTCAGTGCTACTCAGCTCTCCACGGTGACATGAACTCTATTCTAAAAAATCCCAGTGAAATCTCTTTTCCATCAGACTAATAACACTGAGAAGGCAATCCATCCTTCTTTATTAACTACTTGAGATGCTTCCCAAGAACTGTTTTTCTCACTTGACTTACATAAGAATGAAACCAAATGGGCTACATCATTGTTCTTAATGGGAGAAGCCACGTGCTGCAACAACTGGTGATGCAGCTGATGGGCTCACCAGCAAGACAGGGTGATAAGCAGGACTAGATGGCATTTCAAAATATGGCCCTCAGAAGCTTCCTTTAGGGGCTGTGAAGTTCTCTGCTCCACTTTATGGCCTAGAGGGTCTGGTGGTGTTTACATCCAGGATTTATGCTTCCTTGAACCTGAGCTATTCTATGGACCAAAGTGATTTTTTGGGGAGCCTCTGTGGTTACTGATCTAAGCACAACGGAACTGCAGGTTATGGTGGTGTGAGTGCAAGAAGAGTAGCAGGGAATGTCATGGGGAAGGGGAAACAAGTCCCTGAAAGGTGTCTGGGGTCTTGTGCCCCCTGAACTGTCCCAGGGACACTTACTTGGGCTGGTGGTTCCGGTGCTCCTTCTCGCCAGCCTCCCCCTCCTTCTCCCCGTTCTCCTTCTCCACCGACTCGTAGGTGGACAGCGCCCTGTTCCTGAGCCGGTGCCGTCTGTGAGGCTCTTCTCCGTTCTCCCCCTTGGATCCGGGTTCTCCTTCCCTGTTCCCAGACCTCGACCCTCCCCGGTGGCGGGCACGCCGCTCGCCCCTGGCCCCGTTGGCTGCCCCGTTGCCCTCCTTGCCCGGCCGCTCCGTGCCGTGCCGGTGTGCCCGGTGCCTCCGGTGCTCCCGCTCGCCACCTTCCTCCACCGACCCTCGGCGATGGTGCCTCTTCCCCCCTTCCTGCCCCCTGCTGCGGTCGCTTTTCCCTTCCTTACTCCCTCCTTCCACCTCCTTGCTGCGGCTCCTGTGCTGCCTGTGCCTCTCCTCCTTGCTGTTGGCGCCGGGTTCCCCGTTCTCATCCTTGGTCACGTCCCCCTTCTCTTGCTCTCCCAGTTTCTCCTTCTCCCGATGCCGGTGGTGCTTGCGTGGAGCTTCTGCCCCATCACTAGAGCTGACTTTGGGCTGCTCCACCTCCTGCACGTCCACGGGACTCAGCTTGCTGATGTTGTTCCTCCCTTCTCCCCGGGGTTCTACCACCAGGGGCCGATCCAGGTGGGTCTTCATGTCCGGCCGGAGGTGGAGGGTGGTGGCGTAACGTACCCTCTCCTCGGGGTCCAGCTCGTTGTACAGGGCTTCGCAGCTGGCTCGGAAGTTGTGCATCCGGATCTGGCTGGTCCTCTGCTCCCAGACAGACTTGGACTTGGAGGAGTTCTGCTGCTTGCTAAGGAGGGGAGGGAGGGGCAAAAATCAGTACCCGACTTCCCACAGACTCCCCCAAAAAGCAACCAAAAATAACAAAAGGGGTGACGTTTTTAGCTGGGATGGGGGATTAGAGGGTTCAGCTGGAGAAATTAGAGGGATGGAGAGAGAATGGCTGGCGGAGGACATGAGCAGGGAAAGCCAGCAGGATCACCAGGGTTAGTTTGCCCCCACACGCTTTAGGGACTATGAAACAGGCCCCCTGGAAAGGAGTTTTCTTGTTTTCTAAAACGTGCCCATCCCACTTGGAAGCCTCGGGTCAAACCTGAAGGGTTCAAGTCTCTGTGCACAGAAATCCCACAGCACAGCCAAAGCGTTTCTACAGCCTGCAAGGAACAGCACCTTCCTCCCCACCTGGAAATGGCTGGATGGGCAAATTAGTGGTGAGCAAGAGATGTTAGTTTGGCAGGAGGAGCGAGGGGGAATTAAACCTGTCCCTGAGGATCAGACTGGAGCACCCTGCCCCCTTCCAGCCCCCCAGAGGGGTCCCTCCCAGCCCAAGCTGCACTGCCCCGTCAGCTCACGGCACAGTGGAGCTGCTGCTCTAAACCCATGGCATCCTTCCCAGGTGAGGATGGACCATCCAGCCCAAACATCACTGGAGCCTGGGAAAGTAGAAAGGAAAACTGGTTTATGTCGTGGAAAAAGAGCCCGGGGACCGAGAGAGTCACACATTGATGCAGATGTGATGAAAGCACCTTTATCCCCTGGAGAGACCTGCTCTTTTCTATCACTGTCATCTGATGAGCATGCCAGCTCCACTGGCACTGCCTAAATGCTTTGATTTTTCAGCATAGGGCTTGGTTTCTGACCTCCACGTACAGCCAGCTACCTACCTAGCCTGTGCAGGCAGGCAAGATTTATTTTTCTTTCCTCCTAAAGGCTGCAAGTCAAATTCTGCTTCTGAAAAAAACCCAACAGAAACCCAAGGGCTTCCAGGATGGAGTTCTGGATTTAGCCTGGTGGAGGATCAGCACCATTTTCTTAAGGAAACCTTTTCTAACAAAGAGAGGAAAACCATTTTCCTCCCACCAGCCTGCTCAGATCCCTCTGCTCCCTACACATCACTCTGACCTCTGCAGCCCAGGAGCCACCTGGGGCTCCCTGACCTTCAGCACTTCACACACAGCCCCCCAGGGAGGCAGACTCACCTTCCTTATGTACTTTCTAGGCTCCCTTTGGCAACAGAAGAAACCAGTTTCTGTGTGTGTATGTGTTGGTTCAAGCTGGGGGGGCGTGCAGGGCCTGGGAGAGGCTCGTGTCACACACTGGCAGCTGTTGGAAAGGGTTTGCATCTCAGGGATCTGCTGGGGCATTGGCCCTAAAGGAGGGTCCTGCAGTCTGGTCCTGCTAGAGATGCTAAAACCTACTTGAACACTCACTGTGGATGGGATGAGAGCACCCAGGCAGGTGTGAAGGAACCTGCTTTCAACCAGAAATTAACGTGAGCAGAGCTAACCACCCAAAACTAAAGATCTGCATCCTCCATTCCCAAAAGGCACATTCTGGGCTAATTTTCCAGCAGCTGAGTGTCCCGGGGATGAGAGCACCCAGGCAGGTGTGAAGGAATCTGCTTTCAACCAGAAATTAAAGTGAGCAGAACTAACCACCCAAAACTAAAGATCTGCATCCCCCATTCCCAAAAGGCACAATTTCCAGCAGCTGAGTGTCCCATTCACAGCACAGCAGAAGAGCAGGTGACAAAAAAATCCCAGTTCTAAAAGTAAAGAAGACCAGGAGATACTGGGGACATCACTTTGAGCCCCAGTCACCCAAAATACCTGCTCAAAGGGTGAGCAGGCTCCTTGTCAGGGGAAAGCACCCAGAGCTGCCCTCCTGCCAGGTGAACAGCCTCCTCATAGCAGGCCATGATTTGTCATTTCTTGTTGATTCAACATTAAGAAACACTGAGGTGCTGTCCCTCATCAGCAGAGCTACCTGGGTTTAGGAGGAATTGGTGAGTAACATGCAAAGCCTCTGACTGCCCAGACCTGCCACCTCTACAAGGATTTCCCAGGAGAAGCCACGTGCTCTAATTTGCAGCTCTGCACAGTCAGAGATGGGCACAGAGAGATGGAGCTGCCTGGAACAGACTTCCCAGGATGTCCTCTATGTCCTCCAGGATGGATGAGGTGCCTTGGTCTTCAGTGCTCCAGATCTAGCTCAGCTGAACCAAACCAAACCAATCCAAACTTCCTCTCTAGCCCACATGCTCCAGGAAACACAGCAGGTCCAGGGTGGGTTTGTGCAAGGCTGAGCTCCCCCCCTGCTGCCACCAAACTCCTTTGTTCTTAGGGGACATTTCTCACATCATTATGAAAGTCCTTGGGGTGGGGACCAGCTGCTGGTTTGTGCTTTGAACAGCCAGAGTGAGCTGTCAACACTGAAGTGATAACTAGTAATAAAGAGTTAGAGCTGGAAAAGTGCCCTTGTGCAGAGTGAAGCCTTCAATTTATCTCCAAGAGCACAGAGAAGAGCTCACCCACCTGCTCCCTGTGCTCCATTTCCACAGGAGAGGCATCACACAGGGGTGGGTTGCAAAGCCCCAGCCTCCTGGCAGGGACTATCCAAAGGAAATCACACCATAAATCATCAGACAACTTCCCTGTACACAGCCCCTCCCCATCAGTGCCTGTTCTGAGCCCATCAAAGCCAAGAGATAAAGAAAATCTCCTAAACCAGGTGGGCTGTGGCAAGGAGGAAGGCTGAGGATGCGGGGCTGGTGCTCACCACGCAGGGCAGAGGAGACACTCAGAACCTGCTCTAAAAGCTCTAAAAGATGATGTCGCAGTTCAGGAGGGGTTTTTGAGTTGTGTTTTTGTTATTCCAAGGACAAAAATCAGCCTTTACATTACCTCTGAGGTGCTAAAGCTTCCACTGTACGTCACTCACAGCTAACTGCAAGGTGCTGCCAGGTAGAGACACCTCCGAGCACCTGGAGAAACCAAGTGATGCACGTAGTAACCAAGCCTGTTTTGCTGAAATCCCTTCCTTAAAACAGACACTGACTTTACAGACTCCAATTTCTTCACATCTAGAAAGGAGATGCAGCTTTGATACTGACACAAGCAGCAGAGGTGGCTGCCAGAAGCACTTGCCCACCCCTTTGGCTCTGCTCACTAACAAGCTGCAGAGCAGGAGTTTCAGAACTAACAACTGCATCCTGGCTTCTTTCTACATGAAAAGACACACTAAAAAAAAATTAAAATAAAATAATAAATATAATCAGAAAATATAGGAAGCTCAGTAAAAACACAACCAGGGAAATAGGAAGCTGGTCTGTGAGTTCCTCAACAGATTCAAACCTGTGAAGAACATCAGGAGCAAGTGAGAGTGAACAAAATCTGCAGTAGGGAAGGAAGGGAAGTAAAGCAACCAAGCAGGTTGGTCCCTCTGGGGACAACATTTACAGTTTTAGAGGCAAAGCAGCAGCAACTGGAGGGAACGGGTCACCTGCTTGTCCAAATAAATTTATCTGCCTCTCATGCTACAAGTTCCCACAGCAACTGGACAGGGACATATTTGACAGCTCCTGTCTTCTTGCTCTGCTGCTTCACAGAGCTGATTCTTAGAACTCATCGAACGTCACCTTAAAACAAACCACAGCTTCTTTACAACAACCTGCCTGTGAGGCCACGGTGCCCACACACACAAGATGAAGAATCACAGAAGAGATGGAAACACAGAGACAAGGGAGAACCATTTCCTCTGCTTCTTCCAGTGTTTGGTCCAGTTAATTATCGAGGCAGACACAAACCATCTCCAGCACAACCCTGATATGCTGCAGCAGAGCATGGCTTGTCCAAACTGATAAAAAATGAACCTTGGTGATAACCAGTATTTTTTTCCACAAGAGAAAACCATCTATTTATGACGCCAACTCCTTATCTGAAACCCTGTTGCCTGTTTCCTTCTTAAAATGCTTCTTAACCTATTGTGAAGATGGCAATAATCACTTCTGATTTACAGACATGGTACAAAGATGAAGGCTAATTCACTTTCTTTAGGATTACTTCCCATCTCTATTCTCTGTCTACAGAACTTCCTGAACTCCTTGAAGGGTGCTGGCAACATACTCAGTTTTCAGAACCTCTAGGCTTGAAATCCTGTAGTAGGTGTTCCTAATTTGTAGTAGTTATTCCTAATTTGTAGTAGTTATTCCTAATTTGTAGTAGTTATTCCTAATGTGCTTCTTTGAGTAGCTCCACTGGTTTTGCTTGGATTAAAAAGCCAACAGTCAAACAACTACCTGTGGCTAAAATGAAAACCACACAATTGAAGCAGAATCCAATAAATTTCATATTAATGACTCAGACCCTAATCTTGCCATCAATAAAAAATGCACCCACTGTGTAGATTGTTCAAGGAAAGAAAGCATCCTTCAAGTCATGTTCTAATCTTAGGGTAGTCCTTCATGGTTAAAGATTTTGTTATCATAACCTTTAACAACAGTTACTGGCACTTTGCTTCCCAGAACTGCTGCTTTAATCAGCTACACAAATGCCAGGCTTAACATTTTGCTTTAGTAAATAATGAATGAAAGCTGCCTGTGAACATCATAATTTGATGTTAAAAATACCTCCACGTTAGATTGTGGGTGTGAAAGAATATGTTCTGACTCCAGAGGAAACAGAATTTCTTGTTAAAATACAGTTTCAATTTTAAAAAAAAAGGGATGCAAAAAAACCTTTCCACTAAAGTCCTATTTTCTGTTCTTAAACTCAGAGCAGCTCTCTCTCTGTTTCCATTTTCCACTCAGAAAACAGGCAGGCACAAAGCAGAACGTTTTATCTCTGGTTTGCTAAAACCATTTGCTTTCAGATGAAAGCACCAGCAGTGTTTAAATTCCCTTTGCCAGCCACCCCAGGAGCTGCTGCTTGGATGTTTTAGCACCTTGGCTTCTTCCTGAGCTCCATCCCTCTCGCCTGAGCTCCCTGGGGAGATGTGCTGGGCTCTCACTCC